GTGCTGAAGATATGAATCAGGGTTTAAAAATGTTTTCTAAAGCAACACTTGCAAGCACAAATTGATTTCTAACATGCTCAGTATGTGGATGTTTTATCACAACGGACGGTGAGAGCTCCATCGGCTTTGTTCACTTATGGAATCATAGGAATAGACATTTCCATTCAAAAATGCAGGAGTTATTTCTTTCAGACCTACTGGCTGAAGCTAGGAAGGCGGTGTAAGGAAAGTGGCTTAAGAGTGGATTAACTCTGCCCGCTTATTAGCTGTACGACCTTGGGCAAGGTATCTTTTACAAGTTTCCTTTTGTTCCTTTATGAAACAGAGTAAAATTACCTCTCTTTGGAGGCTTTTGAGGTAGTCACATGAGATTCAGTTGGCACCCCTAGTAAATGTTTAATAAATCTTTGTTGCTGCCAATGTTAATGTATTTTCCTGAAGTCTGTAAATACGTCTACCAGAACACTTTTGTTTACACACCTTCAGCTAACAAAAGCTTTGGAAAAAACTTTTGCCCATTAGATCGTGTCTTGATTGGAGGTCTCAGACCTTGCCAAACACTTTTCAAACACATTATCTTAATTAGTTTATTAAGAGTAACTCTATGCCTGGAAAATACATGGTCTTCAATAAATGTTCGTTGAGTGGCTGTGGTTGTCCCTGGGAGAAGAACTACCAGTAATGAAGCTGGCTGTCTCGGCAATGGCTCCAGGAGTTTGCTGTTTCTCCAAATCTTGTAACAAGCAGTGAGCCAGAACTTTCTTTCAACAGGTGAAATTGCTTTTCCAAACTGGATGAGCCAGAACTGCTTCCCTGCTCCCCTCTTCTGATCATCTCTGACTTTCTGTTGACACTCAGCAGAATTCTGGAACACATCATCATTACACAGAGCTTAGAGTGCTCTGATTAACCAGCATGAATTCACAGAAGAAACCGCATTCCCAAGTATGCCCCACATTATAGCTTTTGGCAGAGTTTCCAGCCTAGAAGATCGTGTAAATGTTGGAGAATTATCTCTCCTTCATTAGACTGTGAACAGCGTGAGGTCAGGGACTTTATACATCTTTGAATCCACTGCAGTTCCTGTCACAGAACAGGGAACCGACAACTGTTTGTTGATAATTCATTGAAGGCGTAAGGAATGAATGACATTTAACAAAGTCTCTCACCACCTTTTAGGATGAGATCGAGAGATGTGGACTAGAAAAAACCACGGGCAGACATCCCTAGCACTTGAAGGATCATGATTAATTAACAGATTGATGGAAATGCTGAAGGAAGAAATCCAGCCAGCAGAGCCAAAGCTCTAAGCCTTTCACCATTGTCATCAACAACTGGGTGGAAAGTAGAGGCAGGACTATGACTGCAGGTGGTAAGACCAAGCACCCCGCCTCTGACTAGGCACGCCCCTAGTCGGGCACAGCTGAGTGGGGTCTGCTGAGAGCCCAGCTCACACATCACACCAGCACCCAGGCCCAAGTTAGAACAGCAGACTAAAGTAATATGTAGAAATTAACAGAAAAATAGAAAGCTTTGATATCCATTTATTTGATAGAGTCCTGGTAACTTTATCACAAATTCAGTGTGAGCTGGCCACATGACAAGGATTCTTAAAATTGGGAAAGCAGTCTGAGAATTAAAAGGGTGTTCTAAGAAGTTAAATTTGTAATAAAACTAAAATATCTTAATATTTTATCAAAGACAACAGAGGTTAATTGAATTAATTATGTTTCATGGATGCAGTGGAATACTAGGTAGCCTTTAAAATATGTGGGAAAATATAGCTGCTAAAATGTGCTAGTCTGTCTCTCTCTTTTTGAAACCCCACTATACCGAGTCCACTATGACAAAGAGAAGGGAGAAGGAGCAGTAACAGTGGTCAGTAGACACTGTGGAATTAGAATATGTTTGATTGTGCTAAAGTCCTTCCAAAGCAGAGGAAGCTGAGAGCTGACTGCTGGGGTGGAGAGGCCCATCAGGAGAGACCAGGCTCAGCATGTGAGGCACAAGTTCCTCTGCACACTAGCGTGCGAAGGAGCAGATGACAGAGGACAGGCTGACGTGGGTATGAGAAGCAGTAAGACTGCCAGGCACAGCCGCAGGTCTGCCCTCGCACCTCCAGAGGTGGAAGAACCGAGACTCTGACTCCATGGCCTCAGACACGCTGAGTGGACCGAAAAGAGGGAAAAGTGAAATCCATATGCTGAATGAGAGCCTAGGGCCTTCCCACTGGATCCCGCTTGAAAGACCAGCTTCCACCTTCAGGCAGGAGATTGGAGATTCCCTTGTGTACAAAAGAGAATCCCGCAGATATGGGTATTTGGGGATCTCCCAATGAGCTACCCAGATTTCTGCCCAGGCACCAGCAGGGGATCCCATCAGTGTGTCAACAGACCCTCTCCACAGAAACACAACCGAGAGCATTTGGCCAAGGATCACCAGAAAGTGAGGGAAGATCAAAAAGTGACAGACGAGAGGCCAAGACAGAGAGAGAAAAGGAACCTGAAGGATGCAATACATAAATAGAAGAAAATTAAAATTAAAACATTTTTCAAGATTTAAATAATAGCCTCAGAGAGAAAAGAGAAAGTATTACAGCCAGGAAACAAGGCATGCTGCTATTTTAAAAATATGTAACAAGAAAGAACTCTTGAAAATTAAAAATACAGTGACAGAAATTGGAAAATTTAGAAAAATTGGATATTGAAGTAAAGGAAATTTCCAAGAAACAGGAAATTTTTTTTAATTAGGTAGGTATATTCAAGAAAAATTAAAAATCAATTTAGAACCCTCAATATTCAACTGAATGGCACCCAGAGAGAGACAGAGAAAGGAAAACAGAGGGAAGAAAAAATCTGAAAGGAATAACGCTAGAACATTCCGCAGAATTAAAGGAAATAGAGATGGCAGGGCTCAGGGAATGCCCCAGACGAGGGGTAAGCAGAACTCCACCCCGGCACAGGCCATCATGAAATGTCAGGACTCCGAGCTGGAGGTGGTGAAGAATGGCTTGGCATGGTGAGAGAGTTGTTTCCAGCCTAGATTTCCATGGACTTCTATGCTGATGCTTCAGTGCAGTAGAATAAAAGCATTTTTAGATTTCCAAAGTCTCAAACATTTAGCTCATGCACATCTTGTCTCAGAAAGCTAATAGAGACTGTGCCTACTAAAATGAAGAAGGGAATTTTTAAAAAGGCATAGGATCCAGGAAACAAGGGATTGAAAAGTGAAGAGAGGAAAAGAGAATTTCTAGAAAACTCAGTAAAAAAGTTAGAAAACAAATCAGTTATCAAGTTCAGAGAAAAAAAAAGAATAATCTAGAAAGAAAATGTAGTCAACATATAAGTTACACGTCTCAGCTGGAGAAAATACCTCTTGAAGAAAATGTGTGTTTTGCATAATTATAATATCTATTATAACTATATATGTATAACTAAATAGTGAACGTTAATTTAAATCTTGTGCTATAATTTTTGGAAAGATCAGGAAGGAAAACTATGTGTGGAGGTGTCAGAGTGTGTGTGTGTGTGTGTGTGTGTGTGTGTGTGTGTGTGTGTCTCAAAGAGCTAAACTCTCATCTTCTGGACTGGAAGCCAATGTCTAAGATGAGAAAATCAAGAAATAGCAGAATAATCTTATTATTTAGAAAAGTAGAGTAAATGCCAAGGGAAAAAGAGTTTTAAGTGGTTCTTCCTGGAGTCAGGGCAGTGGACGGAAACTACTGGTGAGATGCTAAGCTTTATGGAACTGACTTTTTCTTATGCCTATGTTTTACATAAAATACATTCCACAATTTTAAAGGTATAGGAGGTGGTTATAATACATTATGGTAGAAGGATAAAAAAATATGACTTTTAAAAGAAAAAAGAAAGATTAGAAAAATATATGCCAACTGTTAGTTTATTCTGAGTGTTAAAGTGATTTTTTCTTCCTTTTGCTTATATAATTTTTTGCATTAAATGTCTATTACCGATAAAATAAAAAAGGAAACTTTTACACCCACACACACCCCCTACTTAAAACATCAGGTCCATCCCAGAAGAGGAAGTTGCCCTCCTGGGAGGTGAGCTGAGTTCATACACCAAGCACAAAGAGTAGAACTAGAATCCACAGTGGGCTGGGGGCGGGAGGCGCCCTCCAGGATGAACCCCGCCATGATCAGGGGCTCTCTGGACTTGAGGTGAGAGCCCTGGCTGTCAGCTCCCTGAGTGCAGTCATCGTTTTCATCATTTGTACATACTCTGCACTAATGCAACGCTCTTTAAACACATTTTCATCAATCAGAGCGAATGGATGAAAACTGTGTCTGTAATGAGGAGGAAAATTATGCAGTCTCAGAGAAACAAAGAACTGGAATCAGCGAATACTGTCTCACAGACAAAACAGACTTCACTTTTGACAATGCGACCTGCCCAATATTGACAGGCTGCCTTTAGAAGCTGTCGCTTCGTCATTGTTAAAGTCTTTGGTGGAAACTGGGTTTCTCCGTGGATAGGGGCTTGATGGCCCAAAAGCTAACCTAATGTCCCATGTACTGACGTACCTCATTGCAACTCCAAGTCCAGGGGCAAGAGTGACGCCTGAGCTGCTCACTTCTGTTCTTCTGCTTGGTCACATGGTAGTTCTTGATAAAACTTCCAGAAGGAATAATTCTCTTTTGCTTTTAATTGAGGATTAAGGATCCCCTTTCTCACATTTATGCTGACGGGGAGTTGTCAAGTCTCCTGATTTGCCTGGAGTTCCTAGGAAGTATGGGGCAGAGCTGCAGCCCCCTAGGCTCAGAGGAGTCTTGGGGGTATCTGTGAACATCCTCAGGCCACTCCTGGGCCACACAGCAAGCCTTCACACCATGGCTCCCTGCACTCCCCTGGCAATCTGACAGTCCTGCTTAGAGCACCATGTCACATTGGAGCTGACTTCTCCAAGCTGTGTGTCCCACATGCGCACCACTCCCCAACAGAACCACCCTAACACTGACTGTCCTTCTTTGTGCTTCATAGGTATCTCTGGGGTCACAGATTGACTTACAGAAAAAGAAGAGGCGGGCGCCAGCTCCCCCTCCACCCCAGCCCCCGCCGCCAAGCCCCCTGGTTCCCACTCGCACTGAGGACAAGGAGGAGAACAGGAAGAGCACGACTGGTGAGTGACTCATGCCCACTGTCTGCATGCCTCTGCGATGCTTGCTCTCGTGTGGAATTTCAGCACTGCTAATAACTTGCAGTGGCCTCCTCCATAATGGCATTAACACGGGAAATATTTATGCTAAAGAAAGAAAGTCTGGAAATAAACAGTTGCAAGTTCACTTAATATCTTGCAGGCATATGTCCTGGGCATGATTTGGAAGGTGGGGATGCTGGGAAGGTGGAGAATGGCTCAAGACGCTGAGAGAGGGTGAAGGATGGAGAGCAAGCAAGTGTGGGTGTATGATGTGTGTCTTTGATGGAAAAAGATAAGCTCTTAGGATGATGTCCGTGGATACTGTTTTGAAAGACATCTGGCATTTGAAACGCGTCTAGACCCCAGCGGATTTATAGATCATTTGACAACAGTTCAGTAGTTTTTTGACCACTTTGTTGAAATTATCTCCACATATATACTTTTTATATATGTAGCAAAGCCCTTGATATTCTTTGAGAAAAACAGAACTCAAAGGAAAGACGGTGGAGTCATAATGTCTGTGAGCAGGGAGACCCTATGAGATCATTTTATTCCACTCCCTCAGGTACAGGTGAAGTGGAGAGACGTGACAGAAGACTCTAGATCCACGAGTCAGGGATGGTGAATTTTATTTTAAAGTCATTCAGTGTTTGCTCTTTCATTTGTGTAAAACAGAAATGGCTTTTGACAAGCAGAGTTGCCTGAGAAACCCCCCATGATGCAAGTGCTTCAGACTCATTACAGAAGCCAACAGAGGGCCTCTCCAGATGCCATTTAGTCCCCTCGGCACCCTCACATTTTGCCTAAGACCTAGTGGCTGTAGCCCCCAAAGTTAAAAGACTCCCAAGGATGAGTGGCTGCGTTGTCAGCGCCTGAAACTTTAATATGAGCTACTTGGCTGTTCGTCAGCACTTTTCCCCCTTGTCGATACATCACTTTTAATGTCTCAGTATTTCGTAGCTTAGGGATCATTTATCCTAAGGAACAATACCCTATATTTCATGTCAGTTCATCCTCTTTCTCAAAGGAAAATACTATCAGATTTAAAGAAAACATGATCAGGAGCCCATTAAAATAAATCTAATTGTCTCCTTTTCCATGATGAGACCCCCATTCTTCCTTCTGAGCTCTCTCCCTACCCTTTCTGTAAAGGGATGACAACCCTTAGATTTAGAGTTCCTTGTTGAAATTCCAAGAAGCATCCACTTTAAGTTGTAGTGTGGATGTGGTTGAGTTACGCCAGCTTCCAGGCCAGACAGCCCATGTCAGCCCAGGAGAGGACCTCCTGATTCAGCCTCGGAGGAGCAAGGCCTCGAGTGCGTCGAGCTTAGAGACCCTGGCCCGGCTGTGGACAGTCAGCCAGTGCCCATGGGTATGACAGGAGAAGGGAATTTTAAAACTGAAAACTGGAGGGATAATTTCCTTGCTAAGGAACCTCCTCTTACAAGGAGGAGATGTGGGTGTTAGTAATTCGCTACGAGTCTCTCTCTGGAGTCCATAAACTTTCGTTTGTGAGGATTGAGAAGAAGCCAGAAGCTCCCTTCCAACTGAAAATAACTGAAGTTTCTTTGAGGTCACGGGGTGGAAAGAAGGTCTTGCTGGCCACTTAAAGTCACTCCTCCATCCTCATCAGAAATCTCCATGAATTGACAGCACACTAACGACACCATAAGCAGCTTTTAACCAAAGTCTAGGCTTTAGGTGAAAAAATAAAAATAGAAGAAGTAACCCTGTCCACACAAAAAAAAGTGTTGAGCAACTTTTTCTATTCAGGCGCCTAGATATAAAAAGAAAAAAATTTTTTTGAAACTTGCTCTAAAATAGTATTGTAGCCAGCTGGATTTGGGTCTTGACCCAAATTTCTTGGTAAACAAAAATAAGCCTTCCACTAGACAGCCTGCCCTCCCTCCATGCCTCGCCCTCTGGGTACCTTCTCATGCAGTGTTCCCACCTGGGCCAGACAGACCACACTCATCCAGACTGGTGCTGGCTTATTTGCACTTCAAAGGAAGAAATGCTGTGTAGATATGGGGAAATTAATGTTTTTCCACATCTAAAGAACTGTAACCAAGAGAAGGAATAAATAGCTAGATTTCTTGATGAAGGAATGACATTTCTTAATATTTTTATTAAAAATCTGAAGGACATGAAGCATAGAATCTATTAGTTACTAGAAGATTCTAAACTTCAAAGCTTGAAGAAAGTATTTTTAAAAGAAATAAGAGTAAGCGTGATTTATGACACTAGTAAGTCATATTTATTATACTGAGTCATTGACTTTCAAAAATTTTATTAGCGAAAGAAATCCATTTGCATATAAAATTGTAAATGGATCCCCCATGTGTAAACAGACCAGAGCGGGTCTGCTCCGATTGTATGAGACATAGAATAGAGCGGGAACACCACCTCTAACACTTTCTCCAACTCAGGACCTTCTTCAAAACAAAATTTGAAAACTATTACACTAAACACTGGAAGAGGTTGAGAGTCCAAAGGGCCTTCAGGAGGTGAGCTAGACCAGCAGATGTTTAATCCATGGTAGGGGATAGATAGAAGGAATGAGAGTAAGCGAAAGGAAAACCTTGTGGGCGTGAAAAAGACTAACATGGAGAAAAGGAGCTCCTCTCACCCTGACAGAGCTGTTTTGGGGGACTTTCAGAATAGTTTTGATCCCAGCATTTAAAAATAGTTGTGCCTGCCAGAAACAAGTTACCACCAGCAGATATTTCCAAATTGGCCCAAGGCTGGGACACTATGCATGTAAAATGGTAAAGGAGGAGTGAGGTTGGACGTGGTGCTGGGGGTGACTGGATTTCTTACCAGAGGTGGCTGGATTTGGTGCTGGATGAGGTTGGATTTGGTGTGGAGTGACGTTGAATTTGATGCTGCGTTGGTTAGATTTGGTGCTGGGTGTGGCTGGATCTGGTGCCAGGTGTGTCTGGATTGGGTGCCGTGAGGTTGGTCTTGGTGCAGGTGAGTGATGGTGTGTCTGCTGTTGGAGGGCAGAGTGTCGCTAGGTTTAACCTTCTGAAGTAACCCCCATTGATTCCATGTAGGTGTTGGACGGCAGGTGCCACAAAAGCCTCCCAGAGGCAGTGCTCGGGGGCCCCCCCAGTTAGTGCTGCCCCCGCCCCCGCCCTACCCTCCTCCTGACACAGACGTGGCAGAGCCTCTCAGCTTTCCTGAGGAAGGCGCTGTTTCCGAGGCCTCCGACCTGAGACCCACACGTACGTGCCTCTTGTTTCTTCCCCACTCTGTGTTGACCACTCATGTCTCTGGTCACGGGTGTCGGGGCTGGGTTTCCAGACTTTCCATTCTTACCTTGGGGTGTCTGTGCCTTTCCTCTCCAGCGTTTCTTTCTAAATGCTCAATGCAGTGTGTCTGATTTAACAGTGAATGCACTCTGAATGCCATGCAGGTACCCGTAGAAAATGATTTAACCTATTAATCATTCATATTGTGGTTAGACCAGCCAAAATTGTACTTTGTGAGTGGAGACAGTCAGCACGGAGCTAATGTTCCTCAAAACAGAACTAACCTCAGAATGTCTGCAGATAGCAACAGCCAGCACAGTCCAGCGCAGCAATTATGGGATTGTGTTGGTAAGCTCACTCAGGCAAGCCGTGAACACAAAGGAGAGCTGTGTTCAAGTGCTGGGAGGACTAGTGACTTAGAACCTTTGAACCATGTGGCCAATGGCCAAGCATTAGTACTGCAACTCTACAGAAAGGGAAACTGAGGCACCAGAGGAGAAGTAGCTTGATCTGAGTCTAGCAATAACCAGAATTAAAGGCTCATTTTATTTCTGTTTCTTGTCACACCCTGAGATCAGGCTTTCTTCATTATTTCCTGGAATTTCTTTTGTACTTTAATAAGCAGTGTATGTAGCACTCCCGCCTCCAGACAGGTGATAGTTTTATATATTTAACCATGTATATTCAGATGGCATCATCCGTATGTCAAGCCTGTGCTCGCCGCTCCTTCAGGACACCTCCGCTGTGCAATGATCCTCATTGTTAAAGCAGACACAGTCCTGGACTGCGTCTTCCTAACCACGTGATGTCACTCTGCAGTCAGCCTGCTGAGCAGCCAGTGCCCACATGAGTGTGTGCATACTTTTCCGCCATTGGACAATTTGATCTTTTTCTTTCTTCTTTGGAAATGACAGCTAGCTCACTGCCAGCTTCTGGATAAAGAAGATAATTGTTGGATTACTTATCAACTTTTTTTAGACAAAATAATCCTGATTCATTTTATCTTTCTCTACAAATACTTCTTTTCCATCCTTAAAATATGTTTGATCATCTTGACATTGGACATGCTTCCAAATGCAAATGAATTTTTATAGGATATTCAAAAATTAAGGATTAGACATATTGGTCAGAAAGATGACAACTGAGGCTTAGAGAGCTCCAGATCCATTTCATCCCTGAAGAAAGCGAGTTTTAAGCCCCACGCACCAAGGCCGTGAGCTGTCAGTAACCACTCCTGTGGCTGCTGTCCTCACCCACAGATTCTCATTCCTGGGGGGGCCAGCTAGGCAGGTACAGCTGAGTGAAAACAGTAAAGCTGGGCACAATCCACTGGCGATTAAGGAATTACATAAGACCAGTAGTGTTGAGAGGCCTACAAAGGATGGGAGAACCAGCTTCATATGCTTTCCCATAGCTGGCTATGTGTACACCTGCAGACCTGGGCTTCCTCCTGGGCCTCCCTGTGTTTGAGGGGCACTGTCAGTGTATGGTGTCTGCTGGGGAGACTGGCAGACCAGATTTGGGAGGGCTGCTTACAAAGGCCTGCGACAGGCTCAAGAAGGAAAGCTTCCTCGTGGGTCTCTACAGTGCTGTGAAAATATTTCCCACCCCTGCCCTTGGTTGACTTTCAGAAAGAGGTCTGGGGAGGGAATAGAGCCATCAAGAGTCTTGGACCAGCAAAGATGAGGCTCACTTTCTTCTTGCTTCCATTTCTCCTCTCATGCCCCACGTTCATTCCCCCGATGCATTCATTTCCCCAAGTACATGTCATCGGAGCTTCCTTTGTCCTCTGGTCATAATTCACCTTACTACCTTCTCTTCCATTTTTTCCCTTCTGACGTGCCCACAGAAATGCCAGTATAGAGAGAAGAAGAACAGGAGGTAGGGGGAGGTGGCCCTAAAGGTGTTAGTACCCTGCAGAACCTAGCCCAGGCCTTGCAGGGAGCGGGGGCTCAATAAACATTTCTCCCTCCGCCTGCTCTGTCCTCCTCTCTCCTGGCTGCTTCTGCACCAGAAGTTGATACATCCAACTTAGAGCTTTCATTTTATCTAATTAGCAGAACCATCCTGACCATTATTTACAGCATTAAAAACTGGGATCTCCTGCCCAACTAGGCAGAAAGCAACTTGCTTTCTGGAAAGGAAAGGAAGGAAAACGAAAGAAAACGAATCCTTTGTTTTCAATTTACTTTTTCACGTAATGTTTAAATCTGGGTACTAGTTTCACCTGTCTCAGGGCGGGCTATAGAATGTTGGCACATAAAATGTTAGATGTGAATTTGTGCCCCCCATTGGTGTATGCATCTCACCTACACTCAGTCCAACTTCTGTCTGTGGCTGTGTGGAAGCTCAGTAGATTTTATGTCAGCCACAAGCTCTTGCATATCTCCTCCTGAGTTCAACTTTAGACCTGTGGTCCTTGTAAAAACAACAATGTGTCCATGGTGGAAACTTACCCTGAGTATCTGCGAGGGCCAGCTGGTCCACTAGGCATCTTACACACAAGATCTTGCTCAGTTCTGTGGGGTAGATTCTGTCGTTAGGGAGAAACTGAGCCAGAAGAAGTAACGTCACTGGCCCAAGGTCTTACTCCAGAATCAGAACAGTGGGAATTCTCCTTATGGCATCTCAGACCCTCAGTCTTTGCTCCATCGATCACCCTGCACTTTTCTCCCACCGTGCCAGACACTTCCACGGGACACCTTTGGCTTTACACAATCATTGTGATTTGTACAACAAATGGCATATTCCACTTAGGTTATTTCAAAAGAAGAAAAATATATTTTCTTGAAACCAGTAAGCACAGCAAACCTTCATAAGATAAAAAGAATTAAAAAGCTAATAGATCATGGATTTGTACACAGATATGTGAAGGTGATAAGAAGACTTGAAATACATCCTCTACAACCCCACCCTTATCTTGACCTCTCTCACTTCAGAACTTGCCAGTCCAGGCGTGCCCTTGTCCCCAACCCTGACCTCTGTGGGATCTTGCTGCAGGCCCTGTCCTGATGGCTTTGCTGGTATTCCATTTGCTGATGCCAGTTGTCTCTGTTACCATCAGCCTTCTGCCAGCTGAACCGAGAACTAGCTTGGCCTCAGGACCTTACCCAAAGACAAATGGGGAAAGAGGGCTTTGTCTTTCCCCATTTTCACGCTTAAAGTGTTACCAGTCCTTGACTCATGGTCATCGAAACCACTTTTACCTGTAACAAAGGCAAAATGGAGAATACCGTGTGTTCTCTATCAATGCCACATTTATCTGTGACTCCTAGACTCTTTCTGAACCAACGTATGGTTTGTAGTCAGCAGAGATAAAGTGACCATCTGCTAATATGTGCATATGGCCCGTTCTCCAGCTCACCCCAGGTGGACCCTGCCTGAATATCAGATTAGCGTGAGCCCTCTGTGTGCTCTAGCCACACTCAGCAGGATGGAGTTCTCTGTGCATGCCCCACTGCTGTCTCCAGAACCTGTCTTTGGCATGCCTACCACTCCTTCCATTCTGAATTCCTGTAGGTGTTTGTCCTTTACTCACTGTACAGTATTACACACACCTGTATGTGCCTCCTCCACTACTTTAAGCTACTTGGAGGCTGTAACGTCTTATTCATATTTGTATCCACTCTTGAACATGGTGCTGACACATGGCATATATTCAGTAAAGGAATATAACAGAGCATGTCTCACTGTGAACTGTGAGCATCACACTACAATGTTATATGCTATTCCATTCAGCCTCGTTAAACTGGAGTGTTTTCCAAACTAAAGGGTGTCCAGTATCAGCATTTTAGGTCTGTCTGTAGGGTACTCTCAATAGAGTCAACATTGCATCAAAGATCTGTTCAAATCATACTTGAGAAAGATGTGAAGATTTCTGTTCAGCATCCCAACTTTTGTTTCTTTTTCAGTTGTTTCTTAGTCTGGCCTGTTAGGATGCCTTCATTTGTGTGGTTGGTGAATCTAAAGTGGCTCCTAATGATCCTTACCTCCTATGTTCACCCCTTGTGTAATCCCCTCCCCTTGAACATGAACTGGATTTAGTCACTCACATCTAATGCATAGAATATGGTAGAAGTGCTGGGATGTCGCTTGTCCCGTCTGAGATTAGGTTAAAAAAAGACTGTGGGGCCAGCCCAGTGGCGCAGCAGTTAAGTGCGTATGTTCCACTTCGGCAGCTCGGGGTTCACTGGTTCAGATCCCAGGTGTGGACACAGCACTACTTGGCAAGCCATCCTGTGGTAGGCGTCTCACATATAAAGTAGAGGAGGATGGGCACGGATGTTAGCTCAGAGCCAGTCTTCCTCAGCAAAAAGAGGAGGATTGGCAGCAGTTAGCTCAGGGCTAATCTTCCTATTAAAAAAAAAAACAAAAAAAGACAGTGGCTTCCATCTTGGGCACCCACTCACTCTGAGGAAAGCCAGCTGCCATGTTAGGAGCTGCTCTATGGAGAGTTGCACGTGGCAGAGAACTGAGGGAGCCTCCATCCAATAGCCAGCCAGGAACCGAGGCCCTCAGTCTACTGACCATGAGAACTGAGTCCTGCCAGCAGCCACTAACATGAGCCTGAAGGCAGACCCTCCCTCAGTAGAGCTCATAGTTGAGACCACAGGCCTGATCGACACCTTGATTGCAGACTTGTGAGAGACCTTGAGTCAGAAGTACCCAGCTAAGCTGTGCCCAGATTCCAGTCCCACGGAAACTGTGAGATAATAAATACTTATTGTTTTAAGCCTTTAAGTTTTGAGGAAACTTGTTCTGTAGCAATAGATAAGCAATACAAGTTGCAGGTAAGAGAAACCCATCTCAAACCTACTTAAACAATTTGGAAATCTCTGATCTCCTGGAACAGGAATCTCAGAGTCGGACAGAGTTCGGTGTTAGTTGAATCTGAAGCCTAAAGTTGTCATCAGGGATCAAGGTTCTTTCAGTCTCTTCTCTATATCATCTTTGGGGTTGACTTCCTTCTCACA